CATCTCCTGAGGGAATTCATAGTATCTTTCTTTTGTCTCTTCTGGGCTCTTTCTGTGGCTTCTGGTGACTATGATCTAATCTGCCCGGGAATGTTAATTTTAAAGGAAGTGTGTTAATTAACCTACTTTATAGGTCACTATGTGAGTACTAATTGCTCTTTTTTTGTATTTTATTTATTTTTAGAGAAAAGGAAAGGGAGGGAGGGAGAAAAAGAGGGGGGAAAACATCAACCAGCTGCTTCTCACATGCCCCCAAAAGGGGGCCTGACCTGTAACCCAGGCATGTACCCTCACTGGGAATCAAACCAACGACCTTTTGGTTTGCAGGCCAGCACTCAGTTACACTGAGCCTCACCAGTCAAGGCAAATTGCTGTTTTTTTTTCTTCATCTTGTTCTTAACATACCAAAGGCTTTAAAGTTCCTTTTAGCCCTGGCTGGTGTAGCTCAGTGGATTGAGCACTGGCCTGTGAAAGGGTTGCAGGTTTGATTCCCAGTCAGGGCACATGCCTGGGTTGCAGGCCAGGTCCCCAGTAGGGGACACATGAGAGGCATCCACACGTTGATGTTTCTCTCCTGCTCTTTCTGCTTCCTTTCCTCTCTCTCTAAAAATAAATAAATAAAATATATATTTTTTATTTTTCTTTTTAATTCTTCATTTATACAGTGTCTTCTTAAAGGGAACATACTATTTTTCTTCCAAACATTTTAAAACCACTAAATGAAATTGATTATGTTCTAGGTAAATTCACCCAGGTTTGTTTAAAGTACTTTAGAACAATTATTCCTTTGTATTTTCAAAGGGAAAGGGGATTGATGAAACAAAAATAGGGCAGTCACCTGTTCTTGAATGCACAAGTAATGAAAACAAAATATTTGTTAGTAAACTCTATTTCTAAAATAATATAATAGTGTATTCCCTTAATCTGTAATTTCTCTTTAAAAGTAATGTGCACCCTGGCCCAATGGCTCAGTTGGTTGGAGCGTTGTCCCTGTACACCAAAAGGTCGAAGGTTTGCTTCTTGGTCAGGGCACATAGGAGGGGGACCCACCCCCCAAAAAACTGGAATTTATTTTAAAAAATTGTGTATTCTTACACAATTATGCTTAAACTTTAGTCACCTTTAGAGTTCTCCATTTGTTACACTACACCTATTTAGACTTTTTTCCACTGCTCAAAACAGATTTTGAACTGGTCAGTTTTGGTGCCCATTAACGTTTTCACCATTTTTTGTTTCACCTCTTCCACAGAAGCAAAAAATTTTCCTTTGAAGACTTTTCACGTGGGAAAACAAAAAAAGTCTCTAGAGGCAAGATTGCGTGAATAGGGAGAGTGGGGCACACGGGTCATGCTGTTTTTGCTCAGAAACTGCCGAACACTCAGCATGAAATGGGCAAATGCGTTGAAACAACCTTCAAAAAAAATTTACTGAAGCTGAACGGAGCCTCTCTCAACAATGCCAACTGGACCACTGATAGAGATGGGTTCCTAGAACACTCGCCTAGTGGGGAAATCGTGTACTGTAAGAGGCCTGCGCTCCAGAAGATAATTTTGGGTTTTGGGGGGTCACCCCTCATATATAGATTGTGGTTTGGTTCCCAGTCTACATATATATAGGAGGGAACTGATTAATGTTTCTCATGTTGATGTTTCTGTCTCTCTAAAGTCAAGGGAAATATCCTCAGGAGAGAATAATAATAATAATAACAATAATAATAATAATAATGTGCAATTAGCACTGACTGGATATCTCAGTTGGTTAGAGCGTAATCCTGGTACACCAAGGTTGTGGGTTCGATTCCAGGTCAGGGTACATACTATAATCAAACAATGAATGCATAAGTAAGTGAAACAATAAATTGATGTTTCTCTTTCTCTTCCTCTCTCTCTCTCTTTACCCCCTCTCTAAAATCAATAAATGAAAAAGTTTAAAAAGTAATGTGCAATTAGATAAATTTCAAATGACATGGGTAATTGTGATGATTTGAAAAAATGCAGGATAACTATGGATTGCTAGTGTAACTTAGCTGTTGTAAGCAGAGAAACATGAAACATTACTCTAGTAACTATTCTTTATCTACATTTGAAGATATAAGATACATCATATTTAGAAATTTATATTCAAATGATTTTTGAGGTATAACTTACATACAAATTGAAGTAAAATTCTCCAATTTTAAGTGTACAGTTTAATGAGGTTTGACAAAAGTGTATGTAACCACCACCACAATCATGATACAGGACATTTCCATCACCCTAAAAAGTTCCATAGTGCCCCTTTGCCATTTGCCTCACCCATGTCAACTTCCAGTGACCATTGATCCTTCTGTCAGATAGTGTTTGCCTGGGCTAGACTTTCATATATATGGGGTCATACACAATGTAGACTTCTGTACCTGTCTTTGCATTATAAATATTTTTTATTTTTTATATATTATGATGTTTTGACTCCTTGAAAATCTTTTTGGTTAGAGACAGACTCCCCTACCTGGACTAGCCATTTTTTAGAGATGGCAAAGGGCCCAGCTTGAGCATGCCTTTGGTCTGCAAACTGAAGACGATGTGGGATGGAAATATTATAGACATAGATATAGATAATGGAATAGTACTCAGCCATAAAAAAGAATGAAGTCTTACTACTGACAACAACATGGGTGAACCTAAATGGTATTTTGCTAAATCAAGTCTTGGTCTGTTTCTAATTGACCAAGACTGATTTTTAAATCCTGGTCGTGAGTTATTTTCCTGCTTCTTTTAATGTGTGGTAATTTTTTATTGGATCCTATACATTGCAGATCTTATGTTTTGTGATGCTGTCATTCATTGTGTTTCTTTTTTTAAAGAGTGTTGGATTTTGTTCTGATGCTTTCTTATTGGTGATCATTTGATCCTTTAGAGTCTTGATTTTAAGCTTCAGTAAGGGAAATACAGAATAGGTTCTAGTCCCATTATAAAACAGTATGCTTTCCAGAACTCTACTAGATAGATGCCACTTTTATCAGCAAGGGCTGTCTGCTTTCTCTAGGGTAACCACAGACTAATCCCATCTGTCTGTACTCGGAATTGTTCAGTGTACTGCTGTCTAGGAGTAGTTTCCCTGGCCTCACAGAATTCTGCCTCACCTGTGCAAGTAATTATTTTGCAAAATATTCCAGGGAACTCTTCTGCAGGTGCCCAGAATTCTGTCTATGCAGCTCCTGCTTTTGTATTTTGCCATTTAAATCCTTACTCCTTTGGCCTCTCACAACTCCAATGTCTAGCTCATCATTTCAGCAGGATTATTGGGCTCCGTGTGTGTGAGTTTTCTTCCCTGCATTGCAGTTTGGAAATTTCCTTCAGGTAGTAAGCTCTGGCAGTTGTAGGACTCACCTTGTTTGTTTCTCTCTCTGAGAGCATAGGTCTTCAGTTATCCAGTGTCTGAAAAACAGTTTTTTCATATATTTTGTCAAGTTTCTAGTTGTTTATGGGGAAAGGGAAATTCCCGTAGTAGTTAATCTTTCATAGGCCACAGAGAAATCCCATATAGTGTTTATACTTTTCAAACTTTTTAGAGTAATTGGAAGACATAAATTCTGTTCCTTTATTTATTTGTTTGGTTTTTGTTTATTTATTTTTAGAAAGAGAGGGAGAGAAACATCAATGTGTGGTTGCCTCTCATTCGCCCCCACAGGTGGCCTGGCCCACAACCCAGACACGTGCCCTGACTGGAAATCTAACTGGCAACCCTTTGGTTCATGGCCCGCAAGCATTCTACTGAGCTACACCAGTCAGGGCTGTTCTTTTATTTTTTAATCAGTTCACTCCATCTTCTCTGCACTTCCTGTTCCAGATTTGTACTTACTACAGAAGAAATATATCTCATGTTGAAACTCTAATGTAATATATATCGTTAAATTGTTATAGGTGAGGGAGGGCATGTGAAAATACAGGTTCATAATATGTAATTTTTAAAATACTTTATTTATTTATTTTTTAGAGAGAGGGGGAAAGGAGGGAAAAAGAGGGAGAGAAACCTCAATGTGTGGTTGCTTCTCATGCACCTTCTACTGGGAACCTTGTCCATAACCCAGGCATGTGCCCTAGGAATTGAAATGGCCTTTGGTTTGCAAGCCAGAACTTAATCCACTGAGCCACACCAGCCAGGGCTATAATTTTTTTATATGGGGAGGGGGTATTTATATAGTACGTGTTTATTGTTGTTGAGGTATAATTGACACATTATATTAGTTACAGGTATATATGTTTCAATTGTTATTTATTAACTAATTTCTGTCCTAAGGCTAAATGGCCTATATTCTGAGCATCACAGGTAAGACCTCTCACTCTTTCACTGTCTATACAGATATATAACAGCCCTGAATGGTGGTGAGTCTAAGTGGATTTTTCTTTTTTAAATTGCTTTGGGCTTACTTTGTTTGGCTAGATTTGTTTTTTGTATAAATATTTTATATACAAGTCTTATTTTTGTCCCTTATAACTTAATTGAGCATTTGTTTGCTACTGTTCTTATCTTGTTCACTGGAATAATGCTTAATTTAAAAAACGTAACCACATGCCCTGGCTGGTGTAGCTCAGTGTATTGAGTGCGGGCCTGCGAACTACACGATTGCGGTTTGATTCCCAGTCAAGGGCACATGCCTGGATTGCAGGCCAGTTCTCAGCAGGGGATTCGCGAGAGGCAACCATACATTGATATTTCTCTCCTTCTCTCCTTCCCTTTCCTCTAAAAGATGAATAAATAAAATCTTTTTAAAAAAAATGTAACCACATAGCCCTGGCTGATTAGGTCAGTTGGTTGCAGTGTCCCTGCCTCTGCCAAGGTTGTTTGTTTGATTTTGATCAGGGCACATACAAGAGGCAACCAATGAATGCATAAATAAGTGGAACAACAAAATTACTGTTTCTCTGCTCCTCCTCCCCTTTTCCCTACCTCTCTCAAATCAATTTTTTAAAAATGTAACAACATAAACAGTGTTTTACTTGTCTGATTTTTTTCCCCAGGTGGTATAGCTGTATGCTAGGAAAGAAATGCAGCCTTGCTCCTCTGAAGAAAGAACTTCGGATACAAGGGGTAAGCCTTTGTCATTACTGTTCTTGTGTTCCTACTTTAATGCTACTCGGAATATAGAATTTTCCTTTATACTTTCAATCTCTAAGTGGGTTTTTTATCTTTGCTTATTTTTTTATTTTGTAATTTTTGGACTAAAATGGACTTTTTATAAATTATTTATATAAGGCCTTGTTTGACAATTATTCATAACAAAGAAAGTGGCAAAATAGGATGTAGAATGTCGGTGTAGAATGTCAGAGAAATTATAAAGGATGTCAGTATAGAATGTCAGAGAAATTATAAAGAATGTCAGTGTAGAATGTCAGAGAAACCAAAAATCAAAAAACTTGGTTGGTATCTACCTTCTTCTGACCTCACATCTGACTCCTTTATAATTGTAGAAACTCAGGGCTACATAAGTTAAGAGACTTGTTCTAGATTATGCATCTAGTTATCAAAGAACAGCTAAAACCAGAACAGTCCTCAGCATAGTTTGTTTCCCACTATGGTACAGTCCATACCGGTTCAGCCCCTTGATTCTGTTTTGCAAAGCAGGTGGCAGATACATACTTCACCCATCCTTTCCAATGCCCTTCCCATTTTGCGCTTTTGCCTGAGTAAGCCTGAGCAGGATGACTTTTCAGAGAAGGAGATCAAATGTAGGGTCAGTGGTAGAAGCCAAATTTCTAATTGCTGGTTTATCTTTGACATCCTATTTATCTTATGTTCCCTACCACACCTTTTCTTTGTTAAAATTAGAACAGCTACAAAATAGTTTTTTCTTTCTTAAAATCTGGTAGACAAAAGGGAGACTACATAGCTGTGTTTAGCCATTTGGTGGCTCTCTTCCTTAGAAAAAGAAAACAAACAAAAAAACCATTGGAATCATTGTACCAAAGATTCTTGGAAGAGCTGTGTTTGGGTGTTTCATTTATTTGGATTGCAAGCCAGAACTATAAATTCTCTCTAATGTTTTATAGTAGTGGGGGGGGGCATCTCGTAACTTTGTTGAGATAATTTATTCATTGATTTTAGGCCATTGTGCATAATTGTTTTTGATAGTAGTGTTTGTTAACTGAAAAGGAAAGACCAACACACAATTTCACATGAGGCAGCAGCCAGAAACATATTGATAGAATGACTTCAGTTTGATGAGATGCTATGCTTATTGGTTTCAGGTTCCTAAAGTCACCTACACTGAATTCTGTCAAGGTCGGACAATGAGATGGGCTTTGGCTTGGAGTTTTTATGATGATGTAAGAGTACCAGTAAGTAGAGACCTTGCTTCAATTTCTCCAAATGCCAGTACGTGGTGGGTTTTAGTAGGTCATAAATGAACTAAATTTGTACTGTCTTGTATCCCCGAAGTTCGCTCCAAATGCTTGCATCAGGATGGAAAGTGCTTGTAAATAAGAGAGTCCTGGAAGGCCAGCTGTGGTCACTGAGGGGCCTTATGAGTTGGTGCAACACAGTGATTCTTGCTCAGCCAGCGTAAATGAATTGGAAGTGCATCTTTTAGGAATTACAAATTCAGATAATATAAGTTGTAGAAACACTTTGTGGGTATAATTATTCTTTTGGACATTCCTCAAGAAGTGAAGTGGAAATCTATTTTTCTTTGCCTGCTGTTGCTTTCCTAGAGTAGCTGTCTCCTAGGGCTCCTGGTTGTACACAGAAATTCACCATTTGGGTTTGCAGGCTTTTGATGTGTAACACTTAGAACACTTCACTAGAATGATCCCTATGTTGGCTTAAGATTAACACTAGAATGCTGATCATTTTTTGAAGCTGGGTGATAGATCATTATCCTATTCTTTATACTTTGTGTGTGCTTGAGCTTGAACATTTTTTGTAATAGAACATTTTTTCTTTTAAATGATTTGTTCACAAACTTCTTGCCCTCTTTGCTGCTATATGTAAAGGAAAAAGACTTAGGAACTGGTGAGACTGAATATATTTTCTGGGCTATACTGAAAAGTTGTAATAGAATAGCATCTGTTTGTTCTCACATTTCCCTCATAAAAGTAATTGACTCTCGCTGTCTGTAGTCTCCCCGCTTAAGTTTAGGCACACTTTGCTCTGTCTGTGCTCCTCCTGCCCATGGTGTTGATGGAGGCCTAGTACCTGACCCTTCAGATCTCTAGACCTTTGCCCATAGAATAGGGTAATTCTCAGTGCTCTTCTCCAAAGGTTTTAGCTGCTCTGTCTCTAAAGTCATCTTAAATGTTGCTGTATCTTGAGCTTCTTTCCCCACTCTCATAGGGCAGAGGAATAGAGACACATGCAGATGTAGAAGGGGACAATTTGCAGATGTTTCTGAATACACGAGCTTGAATTTGAAACTGAGCCTGTCCTTCCTAACACTCTGCAAGTAGGTATGCTGCTGAGTTGAAATAAGTTTCACAGTCAAGTTTGAATGACCTATCCCATGGAAGCCTAGACCCACCTCTCTGTATAGTGATTGCTGTAGGGTATCTAAAGGTTAGAGTTTGAAATAGTCACTGGTTAAAAAGATGTTTTTGCTTTTTGGACCTTGCTCCTTTTTCTGTCATCTTCTAGAATACTATGGCTGTCACACCAGATTGTTAAAATCATTAGTAATGCCCTGGGTTATTCCTGTGCAGACGCTAACAGCTGCAGGAAAGTGGAACTGCACCTGTTTCCAAATGTTTTCTGTTTAACTTGCTTCCCACATTTGTTGGCACTGCGGGTGGAAGAGCTCATAATGAGCTCTGGCACTCTTCACGTCATCTCAGAGACCAGAGGTGCCCTCACACTCTTGGATTAGTAGCTATTTCAGATCAAAGTATCAAAGGGTACTGTTTCTGTGTTAGCAAAAGCAGCTTATTTTGAAAAGGAATGTTGTAAGCGTTCCTCCGGTCTGTCTGTCTTTTAGGCCATCCTTGAGCCCTTTTCATAGTTTCAACCATCAAAGAATGCCTTTTGCTGAGTCTCCAGTTTCTTCCATGCTAGGGTACTCATCCCTCCCCATCACTGTCCCAACCCAAAGCTCTTAATAATGCATTCTCAGGTGTTCCATTAGGTGCACTTAAACTGCTACAGGGAAAATGGCAATTTCTGACTTGTGGTAACCCAGCAACAGTTTCTTAGCACTGGTGCCCTTGATCAGTAACTGCTTTTCCAGGGGTAGTCCCAGGGCACACATGAGGTTTTTCGTGGGCTATTCTCTTGGTTCTCCTCCTCTCTGCTTGGACCACCCCTTGCTTTTTGAAGGAGTAACTGTCACCTGATTTTCCCCCTCTTGCTACTTTTGAGGGTGGAAAAGAAAGATGCTACTTTAGATGAGGAGAGGAGGCCAAGAACTAGAGCTTGTTAGGCAGAAATATTGACCTACTTCCCTGCCTCTCGTCCCCAGTACGGCCTTTTCAGGGTAAATGTGCAGGTTACTATGGCAACTTCTGTTTTTACTTATCTCAGACCTAACCGACTCCTTTCTATTGGTGCTGAGTGCTGAAAAATTTTAATTCACTCCTGATTCAAGTGCCTACACCAAGGCCATTGCTCTTGTCTGGATTTATTTTAGCAACAAAAAGACAAGTCTTAGTGTTGATAGCATTTTTGTACAATCATTTTTGATTGATGATGGATATAAGGAAGCATCTTGTAAGGACTGTTTCTTTGCAGAATTTTAACAAGCTACTTAGAATGCCTCTTTGTCCCAGCTTCTTTCTGATTGCTCCAGGCATTATTTTAGCTTTGCTTTCAGAAGTTTGATGCTTGTTAAAAGAAAAAGGAAAAATAATGTGTCTCCAGCAAGTTGGACACTCTTGGTATGAGCCTTGCTGAAGAACTCTGGTTTTAAAAAATTCTTCCTCTGCATTCAAGGTACTTCCTAGGACTTCCCTGCCTAGGGAATAATGACTAGAGAGCCTTTGGGATTGGAAAGCAAGGGGAGGGAAGGGGAAAATTAATTAGGTCGCCTTGTTAGTGTCAGGGTTTGGGGTCTCCTGACAGTGGCTGTGCTGACAACTCCATAGGTTTTCAAACAAGTTCCAGATAGATTAGGGATTCCTTGTAAATGTCCCAGGGGATGACAGTTGGGGGACAGACATCAAGTTGGTACTTCAGGCCTCACTCTCATTTTAACCAGAGCTAACTGCTTTTAGCAATGTTATGTATTGATTTTATTTGTTTAAAGGATTCATCATTAAGAAATGGTTTGAAAAACAGTACTATACCAAGTTATACATTATAAAACAGATGTGATGATTAGGGAGTTGAGCTCTTGAGAAAACCAAAGCTAAGGACCCTCTTTTTTATTTACTTTTCTTATTAAGTATGATCTTCATTGTGATAATACCAAGGAAATGACACCATTTTCTGTCTCTTGTGATTAGTTTTAGTGGGGAGAAAAACACATGAAGCATTTATGCAAAATTGTATCTGAGTAAGTCCTGAAATGATGGTAGGGACCAGAGTGGTTGAGAATTAGAGTTAGGAAAAGGCAGCGGTTCGGGCTGGGCTGTCAGAGGTGACTTCATGGAGGAGGAATTTTACTGTTGGTACTCAGTATTTTCTGACCGTGGAAAGCAGTGATGTAGCACAACTAAGGTGCAGCATTGTGAGCAGAACATTAGTAAATTTGAAGAACTGGATGTTGTCTTTGTTATTTGAATGGTTTACTTCACACGCATTATCTATCATTTCATATAAACCTGACAACAATCAAGTGAACGAGATGGTATTATTTCCACTTACTAAATGAGTAAACTTGAGACTCTGAAACATCAGGTTGGAGCCCAGTTAGTCTGATTTCAGAGCCTGTACTCATAGTCTGATACTCTGCTTTCTGCAGTACTGCCTTTTGTTCCACTCTGGTCGTGTAAGAGCCTGCTCATGTGGACCCTCAGGTCTACATGGTCTACATGCTTGTAGACCATCCTCAGCAAACCCTCTTTTCGTATAAGAGTCTCTTGGACTCATCCTTAGCTCACCTTTCTGCTCAAAAAGTCATGAGTGGCTACCTACTGCCAGTGTCCTTGTTTGGCTCAGTGGGCCTTCCAGATCTCTCTGACTTTATCCTAATCACTCCCTGTTTTTCTGACTATACAGTTTTCTGCCATATTGGCACGCAGTCAGCTTTGACTTTGGCATCATAAAAGCCTTTGTTCACAGTCCGTTCTCTGTCTGGTCCTTTTCTCGGACTTCCCTCTACTGCAGCTCAGCTCAGTTCCAATTTCTGCATAAAGCCTTCTTAACTATTCCGCCCATAGAAATCTCTGGACTGGTACTTATCTTTTTCAGTCATTTGTATATACTTTGAATTGGTCATTTGTTTAACTCTGACACAGTGGATAAACACAAACTATTGTACGGTATATAGAAAATGCCTTTTGTGAGCTGGCCCCTGCCTAGTTTTATGTTGAGTAGGTTATTTAACTTCTCTAAGCTTCAGTTTCCTCATTTGCAAAATGGGGGGGTAATGATAATACCTACCACATAGGGTTTTATGGATTAAATATACTTAACACAGTGCCTGCTAAATAGTAAGTTCTTGGTAAAATATATTGTATTATCATTTTCCAGTTTGATGCTACAGTAATGTTGAGTTACTGCTGAGATTCTTTTTCTTTTTTTGACATAAGAGAATACCTAAGTAGTCACTAGATTACTAAAAATTATCAGGAGCGTGCTCTCTGACCATCAGACTCCTCATCTATCAAGTTAGTTCAGATACTACCTTCTGTGAAGCTTGTCCTGACTCTTCTGAAATAGATGTGATGATTAGGGAGTTGAGCTCTTGAGAAAACCAAAGCTAAGGACCCTCTTTAAGTATGATCTTCATTGTGATAATACCAAGGAAATGACACCATTTTCTGTCTCTTGTGATTAGTTTTAGTGGGGAGAAAAACACATGAAGCATTTATGCAAAATTGTATCTGAGTAAGTCCTGAAATGATGGTAGGGACCATTGGGACCCTTCTCCTGTCTTCACTGTAGTACTTGCCTGTATTCCTGTCATTATATCTTTTATGTAGCCCCAACCTAGCATAAATGTCTGGTTCTCAAATAGTAATCATCAAGTGAATGAAAATAAAGGAACAAATGATATAGGACAGTGATTCTCAGACTTTTCCACTGAAGTACCAACGATAGTAGAAAACAGTTACTGACAAACCCCTGAGCATCAACATGACGATAAAGCAAGCTATGCCCATGAAGTGTCCTATACTTTTCTCTTTTAAAACCCATTTGAAGTTTGTATTCTATTCCATAGATGTGTTTATTTTCATTTTTAAATATTAAG